CGACTATCTTCTATCTTAGACTCTGCCATGAGATACTCCTCTTGTTCTCTGTACCTAGAGCTCTGCACATTTTCTCCCCATGGAATACCCTTCTTTCTCTTTGTCTACTGAGTGACTACTTCTTCCTGCAGAAGCCAGCTTGAATATGCTATTCTTTCTGTAACTTCCCCCTAAGTAGAATGCCTAACTCCTTTATTGTTGATTTTGGTTTTTGGTGTGTTTGATTTTTTGGTTGGTTTTTTTTTTTTTTTAACAGAACTGTGTGCATACTTCAGTTAGGCTGGCCTTAGTTATTTGTGGATGTAAGTGAAGAACAAATTCTAATGCAGATCATTTATGAGCCCTGACAGAGTAAACAGTTGTGGTAATGTATCATTTTGGAGCAGTATGGTGAATCAGAGATTACCTGTAACCAGAAAAAGAAATTAATCTTATTTCTTCATGCTCTCTCTCTGTGCTCTCACCTTGACATTGCTATGCTATTTACCTAAAACAGCAGCTACCACAGTGCCTAGATTACAGTAAATCCAAAATATATGTCTTCTGAATGAGTTAATGAGTGAACAGATGAATATATTCTAAGCTTTTTATTTTATAGATAAAGAAACAGACTCAAAGACAAAATAAAAACACAAAATACACCCTTTTTACTTGCTCTTACAAGGTATGACTTATTTTTACCTAAACTGTGTGTTTTGTCCTGCGTGGCAAAGGTTAACTCTGTAGGCTTGCGTTTGTCTAAACTGTACATTCCAAAGGTCTTTAAGACTGTACCCTGACTTGCTTCAGAAACATAATGCTTAAGCACTTAGAATATATTCCCAAAAGAGAAAAAAAAAACCAAAACCAAACAAACCAAAAAACAAAACCAAAGACACCACAAACTATCATTACATACTTGGGGCATGGGTCACACCAGATAGTTCATGTAAACAATGTGATTTATGGCAAATATCTGTTTTCTTGGTTTTGATTGCCAAGAATTTGCCCTCTGGAAGAGCTGGAGAGTGAACAGAAAAGGGAAGTCATATGGGCTCTTCATTTCTTCCTCATTTAGCCCTGGATACCAAGGTTCAGATGAGTTTTCCCAGTTGGCAAAATGTTCCTATGTGTGGTCACACACTATATATTAGAATTAGGTACTATTCATATGATTCTGTTGGTGGTGACCCTTGGAAACGTGCTCCTGACTTCTCCTGGACTTTGCCACATACATTATCCATTTCCTAAACCAGATGCCTCTGGAAACTCTATAAACTCTACAATCATATAAAAATTACGTTACTTTGAGAACAGAGTTCAGGTCTTTTGTTCATAGGGCTGCTATGAGTTGTATTTGACTTGATGACACTTAACCACTGCTAAGTGAGACTAGTGTTGTTATATTTGGAGGAACATTCTTCTACTTTGTACATCACTCTTTTTAAGTTTGCTGTACTGAGGTGATCTGGGTTTGCTGTGATGCTGAACCTCGTGCCATTGGGGTGTCAAATATCATAATGGTTTCCTAATGTGGACAGTGTTTGGTGGAGCTCCCAGTTGTAAAACAGGTTTGAAAGCAGCAGTGGCATCCACTTCATAAATCATGTGCCTATGGAAACTCTATGAACTTGGAGAAATGATGATAGTTATGAAAAGGCATTAGGTCTTTTGTTCGTAAAGTCTCTATAAAGTGTGCTCCATTCTATAGCAATCAACAACAACAAACTTAATCTGCATCCTTTTGCTTTAATAAGTCAACTTCAACACACTGTTGAGTTCTGAAAGTCTTTCTAGGAAATCATCAAACTTGTGTTGAATTTAGGATCTCTTGTCATACATATTTTTAAAAATGTATGCAAGTGTTATGTTAGATAAAGAAGCTAGATACTCAAAGCTCACAGAGGCTTCACAAGTTGGCATGGATTGATGAAAGTAGAAAAGCCTTGATGACACAACAGTTAATACTCAGCTACTAGCCAAAAGTTGGGCAGTTCAAATTCCCTTTGTGGAGAGTGACAACCTTCTTCTATCAAGATTGTTGTTGCTGTGTGTCATCAGAATCAACCCATAGCTGACCCTCCAGCGGGTTTTCACAGGCAGTAATCTCATGGGAGAAGAGTGCCCATTCTTCTCCCACAGAACATGTGGTTAATTTGAAGTACATGCCTTTGGGATTGCATCACAGATTCTTACCAGTAGACCACTAGAGCTCCTAAGAAACCAATGACTTCTAGTTCAATTCTGTCATATAAAGTAGGGTTGACTCAATGATACACAAAAACATGGAGTGGAGAGGGGATATAACTAGGATTCAGTTTTAGTTTTCTGCCAAAACATGTGCCCCCCAAACCAAATCAGAGTGGTTGTCACTGAGCTGACTCCTACTTGTGGTGACATCACATGCTGAAGAGAGGACCTGCACTCTGTGGGACTTTTCACTAGCTGTGACTGTTTGGAAATAGATATCCAGATCTTTTTTTTTCTTTTTCTTTTTTTCTGAGTCATCTTACTATCAGCCATTCCTTTAAACCACGTGTGAGATCTAAAAGTAGGTGATATGATTGGTGCTCATTTTCAACATGTTAAGTCTGTTCTCAGCCACCTCCTGGTATGGTAATTACAGACAGAAGTCCCTATTCTTATTGGTTCTGGTTCCCTAGAATTCTTTGCTTTTTTATAATCTGCATGATTTGGATGGTAGCAAGTGAATGAACTAAATTGGAGACTAAAATCAGAATTCAATTCTTAATCTTATTATTTCACATTGGGCAAGTGTTTGATCATCTTTGAACTGTAGTTTTCTCTTCTGTCAGTAATACATATAAAGCTTGCGGGATTCTGTGACAGATAGATGAATGATGAATATGAAAATACATTTTGTTTACATGAAAGCAAAATATTATTATTAAGCTTATATAAGTATGAGGTCTGTGAAAGGACTTTATCAACCGTGTCTTCATTTCCTTTTGTTCCCTTTGTTAACATTTTGCAGTTTCTATTGTACCTCAGCCTTAATTTGTGTGAACAAATAAAAAGAGGATAAATAAGCATTTCCTCACTGCTATGATTTGGATACAATACAGCTGATTTAAAGAAAATTCTGCTTTCAGGTTTTTGGTGTTCTTTTTTCCCCCTGAATACAACACCATTTATAAATACAGAAATAATAGTTAAGGAGATAATTGTTTCTTGTCATGTGTTTCATTCTAAAAATGAACTAAAAAAATTCAAGAAGTGAGAAGATAAAGAAAATAACATCATTGCCCAGTCAGTTAGTAGTTATTCTAGATTAGGCAAAAGCCAGCTTATTATTTTTTCATAATAAAAAATATGTCTTTTTAAATGAGCTGTACCTCTACCTATACATTTGAAAAAGAAACCTGACAAAAATAGTTTATCTCAGTTTTGCAAATATTGCTCTTTACTGCAGCTAAGGTAAAGTGTCACAAGCTCTCTGTCAAGCACTTTTCTTACCATACTGTATCAGAATATAATCAATTTGAGCATATAGAACTCAATTCTCCTTTATCCAAATGATATCAAGCAAAACTGGGCCTTTCTCAAAACTTACATTAGCTCTTTGGATGTGGAGACTGATGGAATGATGATATGTATCTGGAAGAGGAGCACATAAATTGGATGATAGGAGATCTCAATAGCCTGGAACAATTGGTTAAATCTAACAAAAGGGAATTTAACAGATATAGATGCAAAGTCAGCACTTATAGTACAAAAACTAATGACAAAAGTCTATGAAGTGGGACATGTGTCTTGACAGTAGCACTTGATTTTCTAAAAATGTGCTCTGTGAAAGTTACAGTTCTGAGTTTTCTGTAGTTTCTATCTTCTCCAGATAAACGGAATTTAATATCATAGAAGGAAATGCAGAACAGCGAGGCTGCTAAGTCTGGAGTAGTGCATCTCTCTGGATAGTTAATGAATTGGGGGCATCTAGAGGGGAAAGATGTGAGTTGGGCTTGCTTCAGTGGCAATGGGCCTAGCCCGGAGGTCTAAAGGGAGAAGACTGTTGTGTTGGCAGGGGTCATCTGGTTAATTCCATGTCATAGAAAGCCCGTGAACAACAGATCAAAACATTACACTCTTCTGCAAAGGAAAAGATCAGAATGTTAAACTGACCCATTTGGAAAACAAAAAAAAAAAGAATTGGATATTATTATCTGGAAAAGAGAGGGGTATACCTGTTGTTTTGGAAAAATGGGGATGAGAGGAACATACAGGAAGTAAGAAAGAAGAGTATGAGCAACAGGGAGGAGATAATTAAGGCTATGGCAGCAGAAGGCATGAGTTTAAGAACTGACATCATCACTTTCAAGTGCTTGCTTTTCCTAGGAGACATCACTGTGAAACTTCATGCATGTCAGGATTTTTTATCTAAACGCTGAGAGCAGCCATATCTATATCACAAGGCTGTGAAAATGAAATTAAACAATGTGCCTAAAGTATCACCAATGAATGCCAAATAAACAAAAAAAACCCCAACATTGATATATGAAGAAAGAGGAATTCTTAGCTGCCTACAACTCGGTGAAAGCCAAAACTCATGCATTGCACACTCAACAAATACTGACTTTGCTATGGCTGGGCAGAATCTTTTGAGATGTGCATTAGTTTTTCCAGAGACATATCTTGCAGAAGGATTGTTTATGCAGCCACTAGAATCTTAGAGGTTCAAGGTCCCTCCAAATGCTGCATAATATAGCTGACTTTGACCACTAGCATTTTATAGTGTTTAATTCTAGTAAGTATTGTTCTTTAAAATATTAACTGTTGTATTGTTGTTCTTATTATGTGCTGTCAAATCTACTATGACTCTTAGCGACCCTATGAACAAGGGCTCTGAACTTGGATCTATTCTGAGCCAACTTCACTGTTTCTGACACACCTAGTCCCATTGTCACAGTCACTGCATCAATCCATCTCATCCAGGGTCTTGCTTTCTACAAAGCTTCAAGAAATTTCCATTTTGATATGCAGTAAAACAGAGCTTTGCTACTTACCTATAAAGTGCTGAAAGGGGCCTTTTATTTCCAGGTTTTGGTCTGTACGGTTTGGGTTCCCCTGCCATGTTGATATCTGAAAGTATAAGAAAAAACACAGGAGAGAACAGTTTAAAAGCAATATATGATATGGTATTATGATTATCACAAGAGTCCAGAACTAAGGTTGCATAGTGGAGTGTACTCGGGGCAGTGGGGCGTGGGGGGTGGGAGGGGTTGTATACCAATGAAAGAATTTTTCTTTTCAAAGAGAGAAGCAAGCTGGGTGGGGAGGGCTGGGCAGGGACAAAAGTGCAACAATGAATGAATGGAAATCCAAAATCTCTGTAAATGTTCACTAAAATTAATAAAATAAAAAAGAAAATATTAAATAATTTGAGAAAATAAATTGCAAAGTGACTATTTTTGCCCCATTTGCTTCATAGCCATAGTTTTGTGTGACATTCATTCATAAAAATAATATTTGTTGAAAACCTACTGTATGTCAGGCACTGTTTTAGGTGCTTGTTACAAAAATCCACCACTGTTGAGTCATTTACAATTCATAATAACCTTATAGAGTAAGTGAACCTGCCTTGTAAGGTATCCAAGGCAGAAGACAATTGTTTCACGTGTCTCCCATGGAGCAGCTGCTCATTGCAAACTGCCAATTTTCTAGTTAGCAACCAAGTGCTTCACCACTGTGCCACCAGATATCTTATCTACTGTGCACAAAATAGATTATAATACCTACTCCCACGGGCCTCAGAAGTTGGGAGGAGAGAGAGAGCAGGTACCACATAATAGACAAGAAAAAAATATAACACATATTATCTCTTTCTTTCATTGGAACCAACTTATTGCTGACCCTTCAGTAGATGTTTAGGAGCTGTAAGTTGCACAGGAGGTGATGCCCCATCTTTCTCCTGTATAGCAACTGGTGGATAACATATTAGAAGATGGCAAATACTATAGAAAACAGAACAAAGTCAAAGGAATCAGTCATGATAAATGAAGGAGAGAGTGAGAGAGAAAGAGAGAGAGAGAGAGAAGCTTTAAGGGGCTGTAAATTGCACAGTAGGAGATTGTTCCTTTTTCTCCCAGTCAGTAAGTGAAGTGTAACCTTTGGGTTAGCAGTGCAACTCCCTACAGACTACATTATCATAGCTCCCTGAACCAAATATAGATTTCTATTATTTCACAAGTTTTATAATCATGAAACAAGATAAATGTCCATGAAAATATCCCAAGACATAATTGGTGTGTTTCTAGCTTCGATCTCATGACTTACAAATGGAAAATGGAAAACAATAAATAAAGGAAAATCTTGGAAGTCAAGTCAGCCAACAAAAAAATGGTGGTGCTCTTTTTTTTTTTTTTTGGCTGTTTTTGTTTCTTTTTTAACATTGTGTCAATTGTTCTGAAGGCACACTTAGCAATTTGACAGCATTTTCACACAGAGAAAACCTTACATGAAAGATTGTGAAACTCAGTATTTCTAGACATCAGCTTTTCTTCAAAGGTACTTGAAAATATAGGTAAAAATTCTTTTCACTTATCAAACACTGAATAGGATTCACATGCAGAAATTTTCTTTAAAGGTATAGAAATTTATATTTTAAAGTGACCTGTCAATCCACAGATTAATGGTATGAATCCACTAGTTGCTCTCAAAAGAGAAAGATGGGAGATCTCCTGTGAGATTTACAGCCTCTGAAAAACTACTGGAGGGTTAGTTGTTATGCAACAGTAAAGAAGTTGATGTGTAAGATCACATATTTTTGGAAAGCAGAGAGAGAAGATGAAAGGAGGCAGATAGAAGTGGGGAAAAGGTCAGTAGATGATGAGCTCTCTTAAATTTAGAAACGAATAGCTGGAATCTGGAGGAGTTTATATAGCATAGAAATATAGGATTTAATCATGACTTTAGGACAACCTATCTAGGTTATGAGCCAAAGCTCAAATTCATATGCCTCAAGAGAGCCTTAAAGAGACCTTAATAGATATCCTAACAGTAAGCTCTGTGGTCCATGATACAGAGACCTCCAGAGGCTTCTTCATCTGGTCTCCCTGGCCTTGTACATGTCATCCACAAGACAGAGTGAGCCAAATTACTACCAAGGTTCCATTTTCAACCACTTTCATAAGATAGGGACCTTGTAATAGACATTGAAATGTAGAAAACAACATGCTGTGTTTTAGATTCTCTAGATTGCAAACAGATTCATACCAAATACCAATTTTTAGATAGAGTATTCTCAGGAAAGGATGTGTGTTTAATAATTTTCAACAAATGCTTCTGACATATTCCAAATGTCTAGTTAAATTCCTAGTTATTATGGAGTAGTTTTTAGATATTGTTAGTACAGGATTTCTATATACTACTATGTATTATTGTTATATGATGTTGAGTTACGACTGACCCGTCAGTGAGTTTTCAGAGGTAGTAAACTGCACAGGAAGAGACTGCCCATCCTTCTCCTGCAGAGTAGCCAAGAGAGTTGAACTATGTGCCTTGGGTTGCAGTTCAGCTTCTTACCACTATGTCACCAAAGCTCCCTATACTACAATATAGTATTTATTTTAGAGGTATTAATGTGTCCTTTTGGGAGCTATGGCGGATTAGTGACAAGAAGCTGTGTTTCCAACCCAAAGGCTAGTGGTTTGAATCCACCAGCTGCTACACGGCAGAAAGATGGGCTATCTTCTTGCATGACATATTCAGTCTTAAAAACTCAAGGGAGGACTAGTTTTTAATCCAC